TTAACTCAATTTAATCCAAAATACTATAATTTCAACATGAAATCTATGTAAAAAATTTATTGAGTTATTTTCCCGTTTTTTATACTAAGTCTTAGAAATCTAGTCTGCATTTCACACTCATGGCACATCCCTTAACCACGCTCATTACAAGTGCTCAGTGAATGCATGTGCCTACTGGCTACCATATGGGACTGTGCAGATCTGGAATATCAGAACATCACTAAGACGAAGCATCCCTCCCTTCAAGGAATATATCCTTACAAGTATTTCTAATCGCAAAGTAAACATTTACACACCCTCACTGGTTCGAGCAATACAAAAATGTAAAAAGTGAAAGTCCTCCCTTAGTCCCACCCTGTTAACCAAATGAAGATGAAGAAAAGTACTCGAGACCGTAATTCAGATTCCACTCCTCAGTGAAGATTACCTTCTGGAAGCACAAACAAAAGGAAAATAAGGGTCCTTTGGGCACAGAACATGGGAGAAACAGTCCAATCACTTCCTAAACTAGTGAGTTTCAAAAAACGATGAAGAGCAGCAGCTTGGTTTTAGGAAAACATCCGGGGCCTATCTGTTTATTTTACAACGAAATAACAAATGGAATACACGAGATGAAGGAAACAGGTAACGTTTACTAGGTGCCAAGCCATTTCCCAAGGGCACTCCATCCTCCCCACTTTCTCTACTACCAAGTAGTGTACTTAAAAGGGTCCGTCCTCCATAGGCTGAGTTCATGCTCGGGCGTTCAGCTAACTGAAGGAGGTCCTGCCCACTGCTAAGTGTCAGAAGCCTGTGATCAGGAGGAACCTGCCGGAGTATAAAACCTAAACATTACCTGTTAGGAAGCAGAGCTCGGGTATCAGGTGAACCATCCGAGCCTCAACGTCATTTCTCTTGCTTTTCAACAGACTAACAAGCATTGGCTGATGTAGGTCAGATAAGGTAATATCATATTGCTACAGAATGCAAGATTAATGAGGGAAAAGTTAATATGGAAACTGTAAAACAAGCATCTTTGCTTATAAGTAACAAGGTAATCGCAGAATGAACAGGTAAGCAAATATTTCAATGAATAAAAAGAAAATCCCATGGTTACCTAGTCATTTCTACCTCCTTCTTCTTGGGTTCTAGCTTTTCTATCAGAGGGCCAGTCTTTAATGATCTTTTACTTTTACTAGAGGCCCGGTGCACGGATTCATGTATTGATGGGGTCCCTCGGCCTGGCCTGTGGGGATCAGGCCGAAACTGGCTCTCCGACATCCCCCGAGGGGTCCCAGATTGTGAGAGGGCACAGGCCAGGGTGAGAGACCCCACCCATGCACGAATCTATGCACTGAGCTTTTAGTATGCATATAAGATCTTTGGTGAATCTCTTCCCGCCCTCCCCCATCCCCCCATCCCTCTGAGATTCATCAGTCTGTTTCATGTTTCCATGCCTGTGGTTTCTGCTCCTGCGTGAGCATCTGCCCCTGGTGGTCATTGCACATCATAGCTACCAGACGGTAGCTTAGGCTTTTATATATATAGTTCGGACATCATTCTGTTTTGTTTTTCATCATTTCCATGCTCTCTTCTGGGTTTCACCCACAGTCAGAGGAGCTCCAACTGGCTCCATACACAGTGCCTGACCCTCCTGTAGCTGCCTCAAGGCCAGCATCTCCACTACTGATGACTCAGGCAGGCTGCCCATGCATAACTAAAAGGCTCCAAGATCCCACATTCATCTTGAAGATATCGATACACAAGTTGGAGGCAAAGGTTATTTTAAGTCACCCTCAGCTTTCCCAAAAAGAACTTAACTTCCAGGATTGTCAGATGTTATAGGGAAGCAGCTGTGAAGTCTGGCAAGTGTGAATCTGACCCTGACCCTTCTACTTAATTGGATGAGGACATTGGAGAAATTACCTACCTTTCCTCACCTATGACATGAGAACAGTAGCTCAGAAGTAGCCCATAGAAGCACTAGCATTGTGTCTGGTTTTTAATGAGCTCCTACATCACCCCCTTGCTTCTCCCAGATTGAATTTCAGTATTTTCACCTTGCCAAAAGTTCATTTCTCTTCCAAAGGCAAAGGTTCCAATTAACATTCATTTCCAGTAGAATTTGCTCAACACTAACGACCGAACAACTGGAATTATGAATTACACCATGCCCGGGCACTGTGTGATGCTGACATCAATACTCATAATTAAGTAAGAAGTGGGAGTTTCTCCACTTCAATAAGGACTTTTAGTCCTTAAAATAAAAAACAATTTAGAGTGTTATAGCTACAAAGCTTGGAGAGCCTTTGTAGAAGGAAGAGTGTTTATACATGACTTCATTAATTCAATGCACGTCCTGGGCCCACCACGTTCCAGGAACTGCAGTGGATAAGTTACCTATAAAGCAAGGTAGATGAGAAGCAAAAATGATGACAGGCTAGATTCTTATATTTTTCCTCATTTAACCTTAACAAACCTACGAGACATATTATCATCATCCCCTTCACAGATGAAGAAAGATTATGAAAAATTAACTTTCCCAAGGCCCCATAACCGGACATTAGCATGGCCAGGATGTATCCCTTAAGGCTTGGGAACCTCTGCTTGTTACACCATTTAGTACTGGGTCCTGGGGAGGGCGAAGGGAGTTGGGGGAGAAATGGTGAAACCAATTTATGGCTTTTTTAAACCAGAGAAGACTTCAGGAAGGACGCAGAGTCCAGACGGCACCTTGAAGAAAATGTGGGGAGTGTAAGGACTCCTGGTAACAACCTGAACAAAGCTGGGACATGTTCCAGGAAGAGTATTCTGTGTGTGTGTGTGTGTGTGTGTGTGTGTGTGTGTGTGTGTGTTGTTTTGTTTTCTTTTTGTTTATTTACCTTCTCATTGTGGGGGAAAGGGGAAGATTCTATTTACCTGGAGCATGGCCAGAATTCTCCCCCCTATGCTAAGTCATAAGGTGAACTTTACCTTCTTCCTTGCTCCAATTTTCTTAGCCTATGAAAATATCTTTTATGAGAAAATAAAATAGAGAAATACAAAAGCCAATTATCAACATGTCCTTCACTTTGAAAGTGGACTGCATCCTAACTTAGTGTTCCTTTCCTGGACAGAGAGGAGGACATTCTAGGAAAAGGCACAATGTGTTTCTTTTCCTCCCTAATTACAAGATAAAGGTAGTGAACAAAACTCACTTCAGAGAAAGTGAGTGGGTTTTTACAATACCTCCCTCTTCAGCATGTCACCGGTCCTGACATACATCTGCTCAAGGAAGAACCAATCTCACCACACAGAACAGAAACCCAAATGTCGCACACACTTTGTGTTCAACAAACACACGCACTGGGGAGCACATTTTATGCACAAGATGCGGTGTGAGGCACGAGGCCTCAGGGGTTAGCCAGGCGCCAGCCCTGTTCTAGAAGGAAGAGTGTTCTGGAAGCCGTGGGATACGTGGTACAAGAGCTTCGAGAACAGCCGGCTCTTCTGTGACTGTGGCAGGAAGCAGAGGCAGAGAGGGCCTCACCAATGAGAGGACAGTGACCTTGAAGCTAGGATTTTATCTGCTGGCGAAGGAGAAAGGTACGGGTGGCTTTCGGCAGATTTCTTTCCTGAACCTGAGCAAAAGCTGAGGAGCATTTAGTGGCAGCAAGTGGACTGGGCGACAGCAGCATGGGGTGCGGTGTGGGAACGCCTCGGGGCATGAGGCTAATGCTGAGCTGGGATGAACTGTGTGATGCTAGAGATGAAAAGGGGAGGCTGGGGGAACGGGGCAGGGTCTCCTGTTTACCCAGCGCTCCCAAGGTGCAGGCACAATGTGCCACATGCTCTGTGCGCACTATCATCTCGCTCACGGTTCACACTGCACCATGACGGCAGGCAGGTGGCTCCCCTTACAGACGACACTTCACATTTCGTGACTTGCCCAAGGTTACACAGCTATGCCGGGGCCACCTCATTCCACGGCTAAGCTCTTAACCACAGTTCTGGGCAGTGTTCCAGAAAGCTCTCTGGTGGCAGTAAGGATGATGGTCCGTGGGGGTGGGAATCCGGAATTCCCCGGGGGGGATGGGAATCCGTGAGAGGTTCTGCACCAAGGCGTGAACCAGGCTGGGGAGGGCACGGGTTCCAGGGAGGTTCAAGGACAAAGGAGGCAGTGCAGTACTCGTCTTGGTGACAACCGGAGGAGGTGAGGGTGAAGCAGAACAAGGAAGCCAATGATTTCCTGAGACGCAGAAATCCCAGGAGGAGCAGAAGTGAGACAGACAATGAATTCAGCACAAATTATGTTAGTTTGAGATGCCTGCAGGATGCTCATGCAAATATGGTCTGAAAATAGAGGTGAGTGTGCAACTGAGAAATGAGGGCAAGGCAAAAATAGTGTGTTTGAGAGGTTTCAAAATACGAAGAACAAATCCTGTACAAGGAGACCATGGAGAATAATAGCATTTAAGGTTTGGCGGGGGGGGGGGGGGGG